TTAAACATGACAAAAAATGTACACCTTTCCGACAGGTTTTTTCAAAACCTTTGTCGAAACGTTGTACATTTGCTGTCATGTTAAACTTGTATTAAAGTTTTTCTTCATCACCCATTTAAGCCGTCTCCAGCCATTGTTGGTGATGAATTAGATGATAAATGAACTGTATTCACTCTGCTTGTTTTGAAATAATATATTAAAAACAACTTAAACATACATACATAAAAATTCTTTACACTGTGTATATCATAGTTGCATCTTAAATACTATACAGTTCTCTTCTTGTCAAAAGTCAACTTAGGGGAATTCAGTTAACAAGCCAAACTATCTTTCTCTGTTGTTTTTATCTTAAACACTAACAGTGTATAATTCACTTATTCCTTTTCTTCTCTCTCTTTTTATTCTTTTATCACAATAGTATCAGGGTATAATTCACTTATGCTGTCATTGAGTTACTGCAGTTGTATCCTGAACTTCTAATACTTGTCTATTTTTTCGTATTTAGGCCTACATCCAAATAATCATCTGCTTTTTGTCAACATCCACACAGACAGGTTCAGTTCCTTTTGAACACCATTTGACGAGACAAATTATTCTCCTAAATTGTCAGAAAACTGTTAATCTCACTTTAACATATCAACCATTAGACTATTCACTCCTACAATGGTTAACTTTGCGTTTTCTAACCTTTCTCGGACCAAAACTGTCTTTTACTTGGCTTTACTTTTGGCTCTCTTCCCGCTCTATTTTTTGTCTGCTTGCTGCTATTTATACATCTATCACTTATCTATATCCTCGACATCAATGGATTGCACGCGACGTTTGATAGCCTCGACATCAATGAATTATAAACACAACGTACGACACTTACCAAGTTACGTAACCAAACTTGTCATAACTATCGCCTTTAAAATAATTGCTTTTAATTCTCTTGTTATGTAAAAAACTAAACAATCATGAAATATTCACACACAAAATAAATAAATCAATAATACCTATGCTAAACTGTCTTTTATATCTGACAGTGTTTAAAAAATAAACATCAGGTAATGACAAAAAGAAGAACTGACAATACAAATTCTAAAAGAAACCCTTCTGTTTGACATGAGTGGATCAAGTTTAAAAGAGGATTTTAACTCGGTAATTGCTTTTGTGATAACTTAATGAATTGGATGAAAGTCCAAGTATTTAGGAGACTTTGTTTTACACTAGTAAGTTATTGATTGTTTTTTGCTGTTGTTTTCAATGTTTCAGGAAAGTGCTAAGGTGTGTGTACCAGTTGTGGATTTTGTTTTTTTTTATTGGCAGGTACTGTGGTACCACTTTTAGGTTTTGGTTTACCTGTTATTAACTGTTGAAGTACCACATGTAGATACCAGCTGTAGACTTTGTTTTCTTTATTTGTGCGTACTGAGTTACCACATGTAGATACCAGCTGTAGACTTTGTTTTCTTTATTGATACGTACTGAGTTACCACATGTAGATACCAGCTGTAGACTTTGTTTTCTTTATTTGTGCACACTGAGTTACCACATGTAGATACCAGCTGTAGACTTTGTTTTCTTTATTTGTGCATACTGAGTTACCACATGTAGATACCAGCTGTAGACTTTGTTTTCTTTATTGATACGTACTGAGTTACCACATATAGATACTAGCTGTACACTTTGTTTTCTTTATTGATTAAGGGTTCTTATACTGCCAAGTTCCTTGCCTCTTTTGTTAGTTATTTTTTACTAAATTTCCATGTGTTTAGGGGGCATATCCGGCCAGGCTGAAGAAGGTTCTCATTTTATCTGCACCAATATGGTTCAGAGCACCATTTTCAATACTTCGGTTGTTTGTACGAGAAAAGCTGCGAGAGAGGGTAAGTACATCTTTTTTTGTGTATTTATATTCTATTCATAGGGTTGACAAAAAGGATTAAACCATTTTGTTGGAAACATTTATTTTCACTGTTCTTGTGTATAAGAAAATTCACTGTAAGCATATCTTTTCATAAAATATAATAGACATTATTGTGTTTTCTGTGCATCTCTAAATACATCTGTTTTTATGGATGTGTAACCATGTATTTAAATGTTGTTCTGTCTATCTCATGACCCATTTACCACTGTACATATATTTTTATCTACTTGTACAGGTGTTTCTGAATGGTTGATCATGTGTCTTGTATACATCATTTTATTGGTCAGTCAGTAAATCAATGTTATTGGTTGTTTGCCGTCATGCTTTGTTTGTTTTTTCTACATATGTTCTATATCTTCATTTTGCAGTCTATTTGCAAGGAATTATATAATTGAAGCAGAAAATATTTTCTGACTAACTGAAAAGTTCAAATATTAAAAGCCGTATAGATGTCGGCTAAAGCTTTTTCTGTGTTACTATGTTTTTTTAACAGATATACATGTTAGGGCCAGCACAGTTAACGCTGCATGTTGCTCCAAGTGCACTTCCTCAAGATCTGGGAGGTAGTTTAGAGGTTAATCAGAAAGCATGGCTTCTTCATTGCCTCAAATCCACAACTAATCGATACAGTGACCTGTGTGATTTAGCATCTCTTTCTTCTTCTTTCCCATTGGTCCAAAATGGTGTAATTTTCCATCCATTGGAGAACTCGCACGTACAAAACGGTTTATTTCGTAACTTTCTGAGCGAGGGCGAAAATACTGATGAATCTAGCGAACAGCTCCACTCGGCTCATGAGAAACATAGTTCTGAAGATAGGGAAAAGGAAGTCGAAGTCACTAAAGAGAAAACAACTGGTAATGCTTCAGTAAGTCGTTTCCGTTCTGTGTATTGATTATATGTTACGTGTATAACATTTTAATGAAAAAAGCCACCAACATACGAACCAGATGCTTGATACAATTAATTGAAAGTACAAATGCTTTCAGTCAGTATTTATCATGTTATTTCAAAACTGTATAAAGATAATTGATAAGGATAATTTATATTTACTTTACTGTTACATTATAGCAGGTTAATTGGGGATATTTTAAAATAACAAATGAGAAACATATCTATTTGTTAAAGAATAATTGAAAGCTAATCAGAAGATAATGTTCAATGATATATAGGTTTTTATTTAGTTTTTAGTTAGATCTTTAAAAGATAATTCATAAATGGTAGATTATTTTTGATGTGGAAACATCTACTTTATGGATTTAGAAAACCTTCAATTTTTTTTTCACTTACGGTACTAATTTTGCTGGACACTGTATTAAAACATCGCTAAATTGAATTGATCTTTTAGAAGTGCCACAATCTGGTTCAAATTGATTACAAGTCTACCACATAGTTTGTCTTAATTTAGTAAAAATGAACAAAGAAATATGTTTGTTTATATATTTAGCGTAAAAAGAATTTTGCGAGGAATTAACATTAATATTGAGATCTCTTGTGGATTTTCCTGCTGGACCGGGTGTAGCCTAATGGTTAGCATGCCAGGCTGTCCATCAAAAGATCTAAAATACGTGTCACAATATCTCTAAATATGCTGTGCACTTTCAGCTATAGTTGTGTTATAAAAGTGACAATTAATCCTGCTATTTGATTAAAAGCTCTTGTGGTAGTGGGCTCTGCTGATTGGCTGCCTTCTCTCTGGTCAGTTGTTCAAAATTAAGGATTATTTATATCTGAACTTTAGGCATCTCTAGGTTGAACGTTTAGTCCACGTAGGCACAAGGTGTCATTCATGTAGAAAACACCAGTACGGGCTTTTCTGCCACTTTGTAGAAACTAGTTACTTCTGTGAACTTTTTTTAGGGTTATCATGAAGTTTGCTGACTCACCTTTCTGCTTGAAAAGTCAGTAGATAATTTGAAATGCCAACTTAATATGCTATTTTTACATGCATTAGATGTTAGTAGTTTAGTGAGTACTTGCTGGATAATATAGTAATCTTTTAATTACAGAGGAAAGCTACGACAGTAACACACATTTCCAACAGTAGTCTTTTAATTACAGAGGAAAGCTACGACAGTAACACACATTTCTAACAGTAATCTTTTAATTACAGAGGAAAGCTACGACAGTAACACACATTTCTAACAGTAGTCTTTTAATTACAGAGGAAAGCTACGACAGTAACACACATTTCTAACAGTAGTCTTTTAATTACAGAGGAAAGCTACGACAGTAACACACATTTCTAACAGTAGTCTTTTAATTACAGAGGAAAGCCACGACAGTAACACACATTTCTACGGATAGAGAAAAACACCTTAATCCAGCCGTTCCGTTTACAGCTGGTGAATCGATTCATGATGATGATGTTGAAGGCATGTCACTTGATGAATTCATTCATCATTTACAGCAGAAAGGAAGAAAAGGTTTATACCAGGAATATACTGAATTAAAGATGAAGGCGATGGAAGGAACTTTTGATGCTGCTAGGTTTGTAGTAACTAGAAATTCATAAGCAGTAGATAAGAAGGGTGTAATTTAAGACATTTTCAGGTGTGTTTATTTTCATATCAAAGATAAGATTGTGTTGTTCTTTGCCACAGATGTTATAGGATCATGGACATTCGTGGATTATTTTTTTAATTATGTATTTTTTTTTTTAGTTTTTGCATTTCCCAATTTTAAACCCCTAGACTCCACAAGTATATCAGATATGACTTAAATCAATTTGGTGTCCATGCTTTTTGTGGCTCATCATTTTGTCAGTCTAGTATATTCTCATGCGAATTCCATGCTTGTCAGAGCTGGTGGTTGTTGCTTTGTAAGGATTTAGTTAGCTGTATGTATAGTTCTTGAGTACTATTGTCAAAATGTTTGAAATGCACTCAACAGTAACACCTATTTTTGTTAGGCAGTAAGCACTGTTGTTAACACCTTACTTCTAGATAATCTGTATTTTCAACAATAACACCTATTTTTGTTAGAGAGTAAGCACTGTTGTTACCACCTTACTTCTAGATAATCTATATTTTCAACAGTAACACTTATTTTTGTTAGGCAGTAAGCACTGTTGTTAACATCTTACTTCTAGATAATCTGAATTTTCAACAATAACACCTATTTTTGTTAGAGAGTAAGCACTGTTGTTACCATCTTACTTCTAGATAATCTGATTTTCAACAATAACACCTATTTTTGTTAGAGAGTAAGCACTGTTGTTACCACCTTACTTCTAGATAATCTGAATTTTCAACAGTAACACCTATTTTTGTTAGGCAGTAAGCACTGTTGTTAACACCTTACTTCTGGATAATCTACATTTTCAACAGTAACACCTATTTTTACATATTTTATCAAAATAGTTATTTTCTGATGTAACATTTTTAATATGGAAAGCCGATATGGACAAATTAAGAGGAAGTTTTGTTATTTTTATCTCATATTTTAGCCCTGTTTGTTTCTAACACTTGTGTATTGTAGCATGACAGTATAATGGATAGTTGGTAGTATATTTTCCAATTTTAAGTCTGGTTTTCCAAAGTCATGGATTGCCTAAAGATATTTAAACATTTAAAGTCATATAAGTTTTGTTAAGTCCTCAAACTCAGAAAACATTAGCTTTCAGTATTTAATGATCTTTAGCGAATTGTAAATTTTTTACTTACTCCAATGGTTTTCTCCCATTTTGTATTAAATCCTGATTATTTGAGTTGTGAAATAAAGCTTGTGTATATACTTTTTTTTTTCTCTGTTCGCAAATAGACTCAAGTCGAATCAACCAAAAAATCGGTACTCTGATGTGCTGTGTTACGACCACTCTCGTGTCAAGATTTCCTGTCTTGATGGAGATCCATCATCGAATTATCTCAATGCAAACTTTATTGATGGATATAAACAGAAAAATGCTTTCATATCTACACAAGGTAGATGGAATTTATAAGTTTAACCTTTAAATATAAAACATGTACTTCCAAGATCCAGAACCTATAGAGGAAAAGGACCCCACCTATCCCCTGGGGCATGGTTTACAAGTTTAAACAGAAAAAATATACTTTCAAGACCTAGAACATGTGGAGGAATGATACCCCACATATGCATTAGGTATAGCTTATAAGTTTAATCTTTAAACAAAAAAAGGTATTTCAAAGGCCCAGAACTTCAGAAAGAATGGGACCCCAACTTCCCTACGTTGTTCTTTAGCTGTTCCAGAGTTTGTTTCAGAAGGAAATAACATGTATACATGAGGTAGGAGAAAATTATAAAATGTTACAAATTGTATATGTATTTAATTTCCTGATGACTATATTACATATTTTGTTATCAAATACTAAAATATAAATTATGATTTCACTTTGATGTTTATAATGGTTTTTAGAGTCTCATAAAATTCAATCTATGTTCATCACATGTAAAATTCTGAGTTAAGATGCCTTACTCAATGTCTATTACTGGTGTAAAAGTGACAACATGCTGTTTACAGAGATCATCCTGAAGCTCACAATTTTATCATTGAGGTCTCGTTACCCTTAGTTATGTATGTAATCCTAATAATGTTTGTTAGGCATCTATCTTTATATAATTGAAATTCCTTTTCTAAAGAACTGTTCACAAAACTGACGTATGTAATCGTAATAATGTTTGTTAGGCATCTATCTTTATATAATTGAAATTCCTTTTCTAAAGAACTGTTCACAAAACTGACGTATGTAATCGTAATAATGTTTGTTAGGCATCTATCTTAATATAACTGAAATTCCTTTTCTAAAGAACTGTTCACAAAAACTGACGTATGTAATCGTAATAATGTTTGTTCGGCATCTATCTTTATATAACTGAAATTCCTTTTCTAAAGAACTGTTCACAAAAACTGACGTATGTAATCGTAATAATGTTTGTTAGGCATCTATCTTTATATAACTGAAATTCCTTTTCTAAAGAACTGTTCACAAAACTGACGTATGTAATCGTAATAATGTTTGTTAGGCATCTATCTTTATATAACTGAAATTCTGTTTCTAAAGCACTGTTCGCAAAACTGAAACACGAGGGACTGCTGTTATGTGATACTCTCTGTATGCTATGTTACTATCTTTATAAACTGCATTAATGTGTTACTTACCCAAAGGACTAGAATAATGTGACACTTTCTTTAAACTATGTTACTCTCTGTAGGGACTGCAATAATGTGTCACTCTGTAAACTATGTTACTGTCTGTATGGACTGCAATAATGTGTCAGTCTGTAAACAGTGTTACTGTCTCTATAAACTACATTAATGTGTCACTCTGTAAACTGTGTAACTGTCTGTAGGGACTGAAATAACGTGACACTGTAAACAGTGTTACTGTCTCTATAAACTGCATTAATGTGTCACTGTAAACTGTGTAACTGTCTGTAGGGACTGAAATAATGTGATACTGTAAACTATGTTACTGTATGTAGAGACTGAAATAATGTGACACTGTAAACTGTGTTACTGTCACTATAAACTGCTATAATGTGACACTGTAAACTATGTTACGGTCTGTGGTGGCTACAATAATATCTCACCATCTGTAAACTAAGTTATGGTCTGTGGTGGCTACAATAATATCTCACTGTCTGTAAACTATGTTATGGTCTGTGGTGGCTACAATAATATCTCACTGTCTGTAAACTATGTTATGGTCTGTGGTGGCTACAATAATATCTCACTGTCTGTAAACTGTGTTACT